TGATTCCTTTTCTTGGAACTTTACAGATATTCTTTAAGATCCAAACTGAAGTTGTATTCTTCCAACGAGGATTTATTTTGGCTTCTGCTAGTGTCTTGTGGACATAAGCAATCCATAGCCACTTTAATATGATTTATCTATTTGGGTTTTCAGACCACAAAGTGTAAATTCTGATCCAAAAACTACATAAAAGTGCAATTTTCGGTTGCAAATTCTCAGGGAAGATTATTGCCCCCCTCTACCCAGTATCAAGGTTGAGAAATGGGCAAAAATCCCCTCCTAGTTTAGTGGACTTAACTTTCAGTTCCTCAGTCATGATCGGGTCTTGGGTAGGCTCCACTTTACCTCTTGTCCTTCATAACCTGCATACCCATCAAAGGAAATGCCCAACATCATCTCAGACATTCAGCCAAAAATCTCAGGCTGCAAACCAGATTTCCCCTCTCTTGCTAGGAGGGTTCCTGCTTCTGCTTAGGTCTGGAGATGTGTGGTTCGTAGCTTTTATCCCAGATCAGTGATGTGTTCTCAATGAGGAGGGTCATTCAGACTAATGAATTCTACATATTGCTAAAAAATGCAAGCTTATTTCTTTTAAGCATTTAACTGTAATAATTTCATATTACATAAAAGACCCTGAAGTCTTGAAGGATTAAATGCGTTTGTATTCTTTTCCTCTGCTGTTCTCACTCATTATAGATGTAATCACCAATTATGAGCTCACATTTGACATCTTTTAATCTGTGGGAATCCTGAGGAACCAGATTTGAGTGCCTTCCTCTACAGAAGTTCGCTGCTCCTGTCCAGCATGCTTGGGGGCTATAAGCCCAGACCACTTTAATTCACCAGGCTGGGGTTTCCCAGACGCCACAGATAAGGAGAACTGAAACCACAGTTCAGTGAGAAGAGAGCTCAGTTACAAATGAGGCGAGATTGGTTTTTTCCCTCTGGCTAGGACAAAGTCAAGAGATACCATGTCTACCTGAAGATAAAGAGCTTTTGTTCCTAGTCCACCCTTTCATGGATCTATAGCACCTAGATAATGTCAGCTCAATGCCAACCTTACCTCTGACCTGGGGGGAACACAACGGCTTCTTTCTTCTCTGCCACCGGGACTCACATGAGTCACTAAGACCTCAGGGCACCCTTAAAATCAATTTTGGGGAGTTAAAAGGGCCTCTGTTGTGTTGTAGTCAGATATAGCTTACTTTTGTAAGGAGAGGGTTTATTAATTTGGTGAACTACTGTAAGTGCCATTATATGTTTTAAAGAAATGATATAAAATACTCCATGGTCTTTAAGAAAAACAAAATCTACTCAACAAATGCAACAGAGTAAAAATATACTTCAGTTCTGTATTATGACCTGTTACTAACATTCATATTCACTCATACTGTGTTATGACAGAGATAGAAAGTAGACATGAAAGAAAAAAAGGTATATATAAGAGAAATAGAAATACGAGGTATTAAAGAACTAACCAACAGGAAAAAAAAAATTCTGGAGATGGAAAAGCAACAAACACACACATCCAAAGAAAAGCAGACCCAGAAGAAAACAAAGAGCTGAAAGAGAACAGCCTTTGACTTTCACGGAATGAAGACAGAACATCCATATTGAGTAGCTTTTTAAAAGAGCTACTGAAGAATTTCTCTCAACCACACCACCATTCTTCTAGAAGAGCCCTCAAAATAGGAAATGAAACCTGTGCACCCAGTTTAACTTGTAGGTCTGGTTTTCCTACATTCAATCTAAGGCAATTAAAAAAAAAAATCACTTATCAGACAGCCTCACGTCGTCACTAGGGTTTCTGTCCCCTTGTGTTTCGGAAATTCAGGCAATTCTCAATTTAGAGGTTATAAAGATTAAATGGTCTTGTATGTAAATCTCCATTCATCATACTGGAGCCTTTTGACATGCGTATCTGCTTTACAAATTCATGGCTTCCGGGCACAAATAAACCAACCTCTACTCACAGGTGGCAATTCTGATAAAACCAAAATCTGAGCAGTTGAACCCTTATAAATTCTGTTACCTACAAGTATCATTCCCCCAAAGGAAATTTTCCTCATGTTTTTTAAAGATAAAACTAAAAGAACCTTAGTACTCTTTTACTCGACAGACACCTATTTTTTTTCACTGTGTAAAAAAGTCAGTCATTTAAAATTCAGAGCTCTTGGATAAATATGTAGCAATACCAAATGTTTTATGTACCAGTAAATGTGAACTAAAATCTAAGTTCCTCTCCCTGAAGAGCAGACAAGGCTATATGGTTATCTTGATTTTGTAATCTCAAAACCATCTTTGACTTAATAACATATGATCATCTATTCTCTGATGTGATCAGTAGTTCGTCAGCTCCCATGGGTCACTCAAGCCCAATAACCCTTCATTTAAAATTACGTGTTCCAGGAAAAAATATGAATAGGGCATATTTCCTAAACCATAGTAACTAAAAATCCCAAGTATTAGATGGGACTCAAAGCCGAAGCATCCCATCACAGACTCCACGAGTGGCAGAACCAACGACATAAATGCATCCTTCTAAATCCCCCCAAATTACACAAAGATAACCTGGAAATAAACTTTTGTCCACAAGATGAGTTTCTATGGGCTCTTCACAAAAAAGTATTTTCTGACTAGCTGTAAATGTAAACAAGGCTTTTGTTGGGTATGGTAAAGAAACTCTCATAGGAGATGTATTTGCTCCATTCCTCCACTAATGAAGTGGCCAGAATTCAAATGTGAATTTTGAATTTAGAGCGTCCAACAATTGATTCCCAGTCATTTCTCCGTCTCCTACTGATGAAAGCACCTGTCTCTTCTGGTCTCAGGAACTAGACAGGAAAATGCTTCCCAGGCTTATTACTATTAACAAATTTTAAAAAGGCCCGTAAGGATTCCAAAACTTCAGACAGGAAACTCGGGACCACATGGTATTTATGCTTTCCTGAGAGTCATGATGTTTCATGCCTTTTTCTAAGAACCGTGTGTGGCTTTTCTAAGCACGGCTAGGTTTCACCGCCTCAGAGTCAGAGTGTGCTAGGTATGCTGGAGCCAGCAGTCCCCTGCACTCTGTCCCTTCCCTCTCGTGGGCGCCGAGGGCCGAAGAAGGCCTGATGTCTTGCCCCTGACAGCCTGCGTGCCCCTGGACACAGGGAACAAGGCTCACCGGCTCCCGTCACTAAGGTTGTCTTCCTGTCATCCATGGGATTCTGAACCCGATACAACAAAGGGGCCCCATCTCATTCTCCCACCTTCCCTATGGCAAAAACCAGAAAGAGATGCCTCGTCCTTGGTCTCTGGCACAGTAATTGAGTAGGCAATCTTCTGACCTTGCTCTGCACTGGTAAGAAAAGAACTGATAAAAAGAAAGAAAGGTGAAAAATTCCCAGTGCTGGGGAAAACAGCAGGCTGATTTCAACTCTGTCACACAAGCGTATGAAATACAAGCATCTGGAAAAAAAATACAATCTCCCTCGGACCGTCCTCCCATTCCATCTACATTCCAGAATTCCACGCTCCACTCCTCTTTCATCTAGGTTGAAGAAATAACGTAGGATCATTTCTTTGGGAAGGAGAAATGTACAATTACTCGTTATGGGTTAAAAAATGCAGGAAGTCACACCCAGCCCCAAGAGTCTGCTACTCTCATGAAGGAGGTCCTCATCGTGACACAGGCTTCTTGTCCATTTTTCATTTGGGGAACTTTTCACTTCTCACACCTGTCCACCCTGAAGAATCACCCTACGGGGCTTACTGAAAATTCAGATTCTATTGTTCCTTCCAAACTTAATCAGGAGTTCAGGAGGAAGGACCCAGGACTCTGTTCCTTTAGCAAGCTGCAAGTAATTCTTAAGATGAGGTTCAGTTCGAAGAACATGGACCTTGGGGTTATGCTCATCCTTTAAAAAAACTCCATGCCTAACTTTTCCTTGAGGAGTCCCTGAGGAAGTAGTATATCGATTAAAAGTACCGTGAACTGCACGTATAAAGATAGCACCAGTCCCTTGTGCAGGCTACCCTTTTAGAATAGCTAAATAATGTATGCAAATAAACAAGCAGCTCCTAATTGTTAAATCATTAGGGTGAGGGTTTGTGGGTCTAAGCCACTGAAGCAGATGAGGTTCCTCTAAATTTCAGTTATTTGAGGCATTATCCTGCTTTCCAGCCAGCTGTGCAAAGGGATGGTCTCGTCTCGTCTAGCATGCGCTAATGAAAGACCTGTACAAACTGATATGGTTAGGTCTGAAAGTCAAAAGAGAATGTAAAATCAGAAAGAATTTCTGGAGAATGGCATAAAAAGAAACCACAGTGGATCTGGAGGCGTGTTTTTCTTTCTCCATGCTAGATCCTGTGTGTAGGGCCGAACACAGCACATAAAATGCATTTAATACACAGCTGGTGAGCAGAAGAACAAGGGTCGATGGATGAATGGGGTACGTGTCAGGGACACAAATAAAAACGACATCGTATAATTCAGTAGCATCTTTAGGGAAGAGAAAAGCATTGTTTAAAATTTCTATAAATTACCTGGTAGAAAACCATTAGCAGCCTTTCACCTAAATAAATGACACTGAATTTATTTTCAAAACAGGAAAGGCAAATCCTGAGAGGCCCACAGAAGTACAAAAGTAAAGAGAAAGAAAAAGAGCTACAAAGGGAGTGCTTGGGGAGTAACAAAATCTGAGACGAGCAGCCCACAGGACGGCAGCACAGAAAGTCTTGGCGATGCTCCTGGCCGGGGTGGGCTGGGCGCCGGAAACCACATACAGCACACGTTGAGTAACAAAAATCACCAGAACCACGACAGAACAAGGGAGGAGAACTCAGGTCGAGGGAAGGCAAAGAGCCGGGGAAACAGAATGAAGAAGAGTGGGGGGAACGTGCAACATGTCATGCAGGGACCTCGGTGAGGACGAGTGGGCACCAGGCAAAACTCAGTGAGCACAGAGGACGGGTGAAGGCGAGACACACCTCAATCACAGAAACAAACCGCTTACCCTCCGCTTTAGTGGAAGTACCATCTTTAAGCAAATTAAAAAACAAGGGAAGGGATAACAGGGAACAGTTAGTAACAGTAAAAAAATTAAAAAGCAGAATGTTATTAGCTACTAAAAAAGCAAAAGTACAATTTAAAATAAAACTAAAAAAGAAACAAGTTCAACAGCAAAGCAGATTCTGAAGCGAATAAGTGTGCCTTGTATTAAAATCGGCTTTAGTATAATGTGGCTTTTGGTTTTTGGAAAACAAAATGAAACATGGCAACCCAGGGTAGCTCCTTGATTGGTAAGGTGTTGATTTTCTGTTTTAGCCAACCCTCATCCTCTTCAGAGTTTCTTTCTTGTAGAACCAAGTACCAGCAGTGTAAGGGGGAGAAACCAAACACTAAAGTACTGAAGAGTCACCCAAAGAATAGAGGAGAGTAGGAAGCTGACAGAAGCTGGCTCTAGCAATGACGCCTATCCCAACTACACAGTGAGCAGCAGAAGCTGTACAGCGGGGTACCTGCGTCAAGGCCTATGGACTCCGTATCTTCCCTCACGTGTCTGGACTCTAGAAGTTCGGAAAAGGATTGTCAGCTTTGATGCTACACTTCTGTACAGATGTAATGTGCCACCCCAAGTAGTAATCGTAACAATTCCTCAGTAAGATTATGTTAAATTTCCAGGGGTTTTGTTGTTTTGTGGTTCAAAACATGAGGCAAGCAGGGGGAGACACTCTCTTGGGGAGAATGGACTATTCCAGTCTTGTTATCTGAAGAGCTAATGCGGGGCTGAAAATTTATCCTCAGGGTTTTAAGAGGTCAATTCTGTATCATCAGGCCAAAAGACCTGAGTGCTGTTACGAGTACCGGGGGAAGTCTACATGGTCCCTATTAAAATATCCCAAATACACACAGAGAAACAAAGACTACCGAGTACTCTAAAAGATGGGTTTTACTTGAATTTTCAAGCGATGAAACAAATACTGTTGACAAACACTCAAGGCGGATCACATGTATTGAAACACGGGGTACATACTCAAAGCTGACCGAAAGCAAACAGAGCTACTCCACCCGGGAGAGAGTCATTCTGACTTCCCCCTTACTCCATGACTACCTACCAATCTAACGTCCTAACACTCCGAGGTGATGCCACAGTACTAAAATGCTAGAAAGGGAGAACACTCAGTGGGTTTCTTTTCAATCAAAAGGTACCTGTATCTGAGGTATCTCCCTAGAGAAAACAAGACTGACTTAACTGACTTGACGTTCCAGAACACAGGCCTCTCTCACTGTAATGGTCCTAGCACAATCTGGTTTTCTTTCACCTTACAGGATAATAGTTTACAAAGGACTTTTATATCCATTCATCGATCCCTTGCGTGTGTCTGAGCTGGGTGACTATTACCACAACTAATTAGGTGGAGGAACCAGCTTCAGAGACTGCACGGCCCATTCAAGGCCACCAAGCTAATCAGTGGCAGGCCCGTAATCATCTCTCGGTGCTCTCTCACTCGGCTTCCATGCTCAGAACATTAGTTTCAGAAATGACTTCGGAACTGGTTTGTAAACCACATAAGTGATTCAGTCTCAGTGTTCCATGAAGCTTAAACTGTATGTATTCAATTTCCATAAAATGCAAAATAAAACCCATTCAGCGAAGTCCCAAGATTTTGGCTTGAATTATTTTGCTCTAACAAAAATAAAATATAACCAGTGATCAACCTTACATATGGGTGTTCAGTTGTCTGCGGAAAAGCTGACATTCCATTCTGTCAGATATGAATTGTTTTAAAAATAATTTTTTAAAAATCCTTTAGCCATTGTTAAAGTACACTGTCCTCCCAAGGTGACACATGGAAGACCAACCCTGTTCTATGGAATCCACCACATTTCTCTAGAGGTGCCCCCTGCTGTGGTCCCTGCGCCCCACACCTGTGCCACCCATTCATATTCTCAAATTGGGATACACCTAACTATGACGGTCTTTGGTGACTCCCTCACTAAACCCTCTGACTCTGCCCCACCAATGGCACGAGGGGGTAAAAGCCAGCTTGGCAAAATGGGAGGTGGCGCAGGTGCTGGCTGGGCTGCCATGAAGGGGGAAGTGAAGCTGAAGGATGTGACACACTGTGTGAGCACACAGGTACTTACTCGTCACTAAAAGGGACGATGCTCCAGAGAAAGGGAACACTCAACAAAGGGTGGCTGGGAATCAGCAGTAAACACACAGAGCTACTTATACTTAAATATCAGCCCTGGAACAGTGAGAATCTCCTCAGTGATTGTGTTTTATAATTTGTTAAATAAATCTGAGCAGGGCTAACTGTAATCTCTAACAGCAGAGCTGCAGGGGGAAGGAGGTGGGAGTCTGGTTACCTAAGGATGCGTATGACCCGGGAGGCAAGGCCGCTGCAGAGCTGAAAGGCGTAGCGCCCGAGGCCGAGGACACCTTGGACTTGGCACTGGCTGCTGCGTTCACATCAATATCGCTTCGAGACCGCTGGAGGGACCCAGTCGTTGACACGGATTTGGTACTAACTGTAGAAGCTTGAGAGGTAAGGAAGGAAACATCAGTAGGGACTACACTAGAATTGTAAACATGCACTGTTAAAATTTGTTTTGCTCTTCTTAAGTTTTTTCTTTTCTCTGTTTTTTTTTTTAAAGTAAGCTCCGTGCCCAGCATGGAGCCCAATGTGGGGCTTGAATTCACATCCCTAAGATCAAGACCTGAGTTGAAATCAAGAGCTGGGACACTTAACTGACTCAGACAGAGTAAAGAAGTTAAAATTCTTTAGCTAGTTTTAACAAAGGCTGGGGTGCATAGGTAATGACACGCTGTTTCTCCTGGTCACTGAAGACCGTTCAGCCAGTGCTGAAGGAAATTAAGTGACTACAACCAACATACCCATTCCATTTGTTTTCTTGTAACCAAAGACTATAAACCCCAAAGCAACGGCCCCTCTTTTTGGTTCATGTGAGGAGTGAGGTAATGAAAAAGCATGCACATCTGGCCAGTCTCTCACCCTGTGGCCTAAGCAGGCACCCTGACTCCGATTACCCTCCTGCTCTCGGGGAACGTTCTACTCTCCCACCTCTAACAGCCACTACACTGCTGCTGCTGCTGCTGCTCGAGGCGTCACCAGCTGTCCTCACTCTCCTGTCTAGTGACCGGAACAAGTGGAAAGGTCGCAGGGCCGCATTTCTACACATTCCTCACCGCTCTAGGCCACTAGGGCAGGGGAGCTGGGCTGGGCACAGCCAGAGCACTGACAGCAGAAGGCCCTGCAAACCTGAAGGGCCCCTGAAAGCAGGGGACTGGCTGCCAGTGGCAGAGCAGCCTCCGCTGCACAGAAACAGAGGCGGCCCCAAGACTGCCATCACCATGGCGCTCAGTCTTACCTCTAGAGGTGGTGCTTCCAGTAGGACTTCTTTTGGCAGAGAGCGGTCGGCTGAAAATAAACGTACACGCATGTTCATTATTATCAAATATGCGCTTCCGCCGTGTTCACACAAGTACAGTCGACAGCAGGAAACTACGGTAACGAAGGAATTTCAGAGTCTTCCGCATTTCTAGGGTAACTGGGACCACAATCTTATAAATCCCTGACGTCAGACGAAGCTGTAGCATTCTATTTCAGACTATCTTCCAAACATCTAGAGAGAAGTCCTAACTCGAGCCAGAAGTTAGAAATCCAGAATGAGGACGGCAATACATTTACTCCCAGATTTCCAACACCCTCCCTCTTTCCAGACTCGTCTCCAAGTGAACACTCATATTCTCCTAGAAGACCCTGTGAATAATTCACTTATTTCACTCCAAGCCTGTCTTCTAGAGCTGCCTTATAAATTTAGCTCAACACTACTTACTGCAGAGACCGAGGCCGCCTTTTCCCTACCATTCTCCACAGCATCTTACCTAGGAGCAGAGCCCATCTGAACAAAGGGGGGACTAGAACAGGCACGTACACATTTAAAAAAAAAAAACAACCAACAACACAGCTGGAATTGGTGTCATGTAGCAAATCTTTCCACATAAACTCTCCCACGCATGAAAGGATGGGTAAAGTGCTTACTTCAGACTCTCCTGAGAGCTGGAGGATGAGCGGTCGGACTGCGGCAGAGACACGATGCTGTCGGAGTTCTTCAGGTGGGACTGCAGGGCTTTCTGGTAGGAGGACTCGAGGGTGTGGTACAGGTGCTCTGCTTCTCTGCTGAAGTGACTGTGAAAACCCCAGTAGCACCTAGGGGAGACACGCAGTGTGCCGCAGTCAGGATCGCACAGGGCTCCCATCGAACTCCATGGCCCCCCACGCAACGTGGTCGAGGACTGCGCTCTGCAGGTCAGTGCCCCAAGGAGCAGCACCAGGTGAGGGAGGGTGGACAAAGGCGGCCTGGGATGGACCCTGACCACACTGTACTGGCTCTTCTGACACGGGGCAACTTCCTGGGCTTCTCTACATCTCATTCTCCCCTATAAAATGGAAACTAAAGGGCCTAACTTGCAAGACTGGGGAGCCTTCGGGACAGTGGAGCTAAAATGTCCAGAACTAGGTTCACAATACGGATGGGGCTCATCCGTGGCAGCTTTTATAAAAGTGATTTGACACTCATCAATCAGAAGTATTTACAGTCGCCTCAGACAACATGCACGAGAGAGGCACAAAGATGTTCTGAGCTACTTGAAATTTGTATTGCAGGCATGACGAGAGAACTAGAAAAAACTGGGAAGGGGAAGAATGCATAAGAGGATAAAAACACCCTATGTATGTCACTGCCAACTCCATTCCTAAGAGTTGTGAGCAACTAACTACGTCACTCGTTTTGGTAGGAACTAGCTGAGCTGAGACTGTGGTAAGCTCTTGAGTGTTCCGGTGAGGTCCTCCGAAAGCCTCAGAAATCAGGGGAATAGAATTTAATGGAGAGAGCAGTCCAAGAGCCACAGGGACCTGGTCAGGAGGTACCGCTGCCATTAAGTGAGATGTTAATATTCCAGGTGAGTGAGAAAAGAGGCTACCTGTGTCTGGTACGAGAGCCGGTCGTTATGAAAGCACAGATCACTCACAGCACTCCTCTACACACGGCCCAAGACGGCCTAAGTCTCAGCATCTGACTCCTGGCGTTTACAGTCACAGTGACAAAATTATTCCCGGGAGGCACGGAATGCATGGTCACTGCCTTGTGACCGGAGCCCGACCCGCCTGATGGCAAAAGTGCTTCGCAAGTGGCCTGGCAACTGCAAGTCAGCACTGCAGGAATGCGCTGCAGGAATCCCCAGCATCTCCTCAACCCGCCTGCCCCTCACCGCCTGCACACCTTCCCCAGCAGCGACCTGAAGCCTGCAAAGAGACCGTCACAGGGGAAGATCTCTGGGACCGTGATTTTTCCTAGGAAAGCCAAAGGTCCCTTTGGATTATGACCTGGCTCCTAACAGAGCCTCATGAGGAAGAAAATATGCTGAGTGTGCACACAAATGCTTTTCTGATTCACATAATCATTTGTCATAAATTTAAAAACGAGCATGCTGTTGCATCCCTCAGTCTTGTTTATATTCAGATACTATCAGTCAGTCTTTCAAGCCTGGGCACCTGAACCTTCTAAACAAAAATGCAGAGAAATAGTGCGACATGGTCTTTTGAGGTCATATTTGAAAGTCACCATCAATGAAACATATTCATGTAATTTAATGAGTTTTTAATAACACAATCTAAACAACACCTGAAACTTAAAAAGAGTGAATTTAAAAACAAGTGGTGTACGGTTAACACTTACTTTCTGGCTTCTATCCTTGCTTCAGAATCCGCATCATGTATTCCCTTCTTTATTGTTTCGGCTAATACTGATATATGTCTAGACATTCAGAAGAGAAAGCAGTAAGAATCATGAATATGTAGTCTTATGCGGATGGAAACAAGTGTGAGAATTTCAGACTGGCATATGGAACCTAGAGCTCTTGTGCCCAGTGAGTCAACCAACACGCAGCTGAGAAATCTGAGCTCCCTTCCCCGCCACTCTAACTTCTACCTCTGTCCCAGGGTCCCCCTGCCCTCCACCAGCTGCCCCCACCTAAGTACCCTAAGTTTTTAAAATAATGGCTGAGTCTTCTTACTTCATACTTATTTAGCTCAACCTTTTAGCAACCCAAGGAACAAGGCTACAAGGCTCTACCTTTCCATGGCGGGGAGTAGTTTCTACGGAAATTATGAGGTAATAATCATCAGAACACTGTAGAGGCTACCTGCATCACATTTCTGTAATTAAACACAATGTTTTTTTCAAGTTCTGCTATGCAACATGAAAAAATTTATAAAATCATGTCACAATTTTATAAATAGCTGTTCTCTTTAGTTTATGTTCTGCCCTGGCTGAGAGGAAGTTATTAAAGTGTCTCTTTGAATGTTTAACAGATTTTTAAGAAAAGAGAGAAGGCTGCAATGAGTTAGTCTCACAGAACAAAGAGTAAGTTACCATATTACGGCCTGCTCAGGCTTTGCCTCATTCCTTCATTCAGTAACGGTTTAGCGCGTACCCGCTAAGAGGCAGATGTTGAGCGAGGAGGGGAATGGATAAATACACAAGGCTATGTGTGAGTTCTTCACACATGACTGTTCTACTCATGTGTCCTCACATTAAACCCCCCTTCCATTTTCCACCCCTAAATTCCAAAACTATCACCAAATAAAGAGGATACAATAACCAAGAGATAAAAGAATACATGACTATCTTGTAGATTCGAGGCATTTGCAGATGAAAATTTTACCTCTAGGAGGAATGGCTTTGTGTACTCTCTGCCCCCTGCAGTATGGAACGGGACTCCCAAAAGTACTTCGTTAAAATGCCACTAATAAAATGATTATATGCTGTACAGTTTCTCAGAAAATGTAACGTTCACAACTGGGTGGCACAACATCATCATCTAGCTCTCCGACTTTAACTCACCGGGAGTAACAGGCACCTCTAATTCAAGAGAACTAAAAACGGCAAAGAATGTATCTTGAAATTAAGAGACATCCTTCTTCAAGAATTCTGCCATAATCCTACCTTTTATCATGATGATGTGAAACGTACCAACACCAACCCAAATAAAGAGAAAACTGCTGACTTTCTGACACAGGGAGATCAAAAAGAACTGTGAGATGAGTGAAACTCCTTTAAGGATCTAAGAGTTATACCTGGCCTGCCAAGAGCAGCTTGGAACATCTTCCTGGTTGGAATGGACAGAATGTCGGGCACCAGGATGAGAGTCAAGAATTTATCGTGGATGACTTCGGGGGAAGATGGCAGAGTAGGAGGCCCCTAAACTCACCTCCTCCCACAGATACAACTAGGTATCACCTGTATCAGTGTAAATGACCCAGAAACATCTGAAGATTAGCAGACCAGACTCTGCACAGCTAAATGTAGAAAAGACCACACTGAAGAAGGCAGGGAGCACACAGATGGGGTCGGGAGCTAAATAAGCCCACAAACTTTCTATAAGAGGGAGAGACACTGGGGACACACAGAGGGGAGAGGATCAAACCCTCACACCAAGCACCCCAGGCATGGGGAACCCACATGAATACCAGAGGGGCATAATTTTGTGAGGTCTTACAATCAGCAGGGCTTAACACCTGGAACTTTAAAATCTGTAGGAGGGAAATAGGAAACTGAGTCCCCATGCTTAAAGAACATGACAACCCCTTGGAGATACTGCAATAGAAGCAGCACTTGGAAAAACACCTGGGGTATACACAAGGGAGCTTTCTTTACTCACATCAGAGCATGAGCCAGAGGGGTGGGGATTCTGAGGAAACTTCACCAGGGACAAAGGAGCTGGTGGACACCATTTCCCTGCCCCACCCTCTGCCCAGACACATGAACACCTATAGGAACGAGCTCCATGCCAACACTTTCCGCCTAGCTTGGTAACAGTATGCCTGCCTTCTCCTGCGGACATAACCCCTCCGGCCAGGCCTTGGATCCAGGTTTCCCCCAGAGCAGACCCATGCAAAACTTGCTAACACTGCCTGCACTGTGGGTCCCTCTCCCCTCTAACAGATCCTTGGCCGGAGCACATCCAAACCAGTGCCACAGGCTTGGCAAGGTACGAGCAGCCCTGGCAGGGATGGACTGGCCCCTACGCAAAGTGACCCCCGACTTGAGGGGGAGGGGGAAGATAACCACCCACCCCAGCCGGACTGTGGCCCCAGCAGCGGACTGGAGTCAGACAGCAGCTCTAATTGTAGGCACCACCTACCAACAAAAGCTTCTCAGGGCATAGCAGAAGGAAAGTCCCAGCAGTCTGGTGCTACTGCATCTCTGGCAAATGCCTGATGTGAATGTGACTCAAGCCCAGACCGGCCCAGACTGGGCCCCAACAACATGGGTACCCAATGCTGCCCACAATAGGCAGAGCCACTGCGGATGACTGGACTGAACGAAAAAGCGGCTCAGCCACAACAGCAGGGCACATGCAACTCACATGGAGATCCCCCTGCAGTGCCAGTTTGGGTGAACAGGGGACACTGCCTTGCAGGGCACTACAGGACGTCTTCTTCATAAGGCAGGAGGCAGAGCTAACTTTCCTAACACACAGAAACAGACACAGAGTTAGACAAAGTGAGATGAAAGAGGAATATTTCCCCAGTGTAAGAAAAGGAAAATATCAGAGCAAGAGACCTAAGCAAAATGGAGTAAGTAATATGCTTGATAGAGAATTTGAAGAAATGATCATAAAGATACTCACTGGACTTTAAAAAAAGAGTGGAGGACCCAGTAAGAACCTTAATAAAGAGACAGAAACCATTTTAAAAAGCCAATCAGAGATGAAGAACTCCGTAACTAAATTAAAAATACCATAGATGGAATAAACAATAGACTAGAGAAGTAGAAGAATGGATCAGCAACTGGAGGACAGAATAATGGGAAGCAATCAAACTGAAGAGGAGAAAGAAAAAAAAAAACAAAAAATGAAAACAGACTTAGGGAACTCAGCAACACCATCAAGCATAGTAACACCTGCGTTATACGGAATCCCAGGGGAGAAGGGAGAAAAAGGGGGGGCAGAAAACTTACTTGAAGAATAGCTGAAAACTTCCCAAATCTGGGGAAGAAAACAGAAATCCAGATGCAGGAGACACTGAGAGCTCCCAACAAAAATAACACAAGGAGGTCCACACCAAGACACAGTAATTAAAATAGCAAAACATAGTGATAGAGAATAAAAAGAAAATAGTTACACAGAAGGGAAACTCCTTAAGGCTATCAGCTGATTTTTCAGAAGAAACTTTATGGCCAGAAGGGAGTAGCATGATGTATTCAAAGTGCTGGGCGTGGGAGGAAACCCTTTAGCCAAGAATATTCTCTCTCCTCTTCTGAAAGATAGCCTTGCTGGATAGAGTTTTCCAGACAAATGAAAGTTAAAGAAATTCATAACCCCAAAACCAGCCCTATAAGAAATGTTAAAGTGGGCTCCCTAAGTGGAAAGGAAAGGCCATAAGCAGGAGTAAGAAAAGGAGGAAGCATAAAAGCAGTAAAATTAAGTATAAGCTATAAAAATCAGTCAAGGGATTCACAAATTAAAAGGATATAAAGTATGACACCATATACCTAAAATGTGGAAAGAGATGAATAAATAATGGGTTCAAACTTAAGCAACCATCAACTTTAGATGCCATATGCATAAAATGGCATATGTAAATTAAAAACCAGTAATACATATAAAAAAAGAGAGAGAGAGAAAGAAAACCAAGTATACCACTAAAGAAAGTCAGCAAACCATGAGAGAGGAGAGCTGGAATGGAAAGGAACAGAGAAGAACCACATAAACAACTGTAAAACAAGTAACAAGATGGCACTAAGTACCTACCTATCAGTAACTACTCTGAATGTAAATGGACTGAGCCCTCCAATCCAAAGACACAGGGTAACAGAATGAATAAAAACCAAGACCCATTTATATGCTGCCTACAGGAGATTCAGAGCTAAAGACACAACTTACATACTGACAGTGAAGGGTCAGAAGAGTATCTACCATGCAAATGGAAGTGAAAAGAAAGTCAGAACAGCAACACTTATAACAGACAAAATAGACTTTAAAACAGTATACAATCTGGGGCACCTGGGTGGCTCAGTCAGTTAAGCATCTGACTCTTGGGTTTTGGCTCCGGTCATGATCTCAGGGTTGTGGGATTGAGCCTCACATCAGACACTGTGCTGAGCATGAAGCCTGCTTGCGATTCTCTCTCCCTCTCTCCCTGTACTCCCCCTACCTGCACTCTCTTTCTAAATAAATAATCTTTCAAAACAAAACAAAAGGCAGTATACAATCATAAAGGGACTAATCCAACAAGAAGATGTAACAACTGTAAATGTTTATGGACCCAAAATGGGAGCATCCCAATATATAAAACAGCTAATAAGAAACAAAGACAAGTAATCAATAGTAATATAATAATAAGGGACTTTAACAACCCATTTACATCAATGGATAGATCATCCAAAGAGAAAACCAACAAGGAAACAGTGACTTTTAATATCATATTGAACCAGAAGGCTCTAACAGATATAGTCAGAACATTCCATTCTAAAATAACAAAATACACATTTTTTTTCAAGTGCATACACAACATTCTCCAGAATATACTACATATTAGGCCACAAAACAAGTCTCAATGAATTGAAAAAGATCGAACTCCTACTACGACTATGCATCTTTTCCAACCATAACATTATGAAACCAGAAATCAACCACAAGAAAAACTGGGAAAGACTGCAAATAAATGGAAGTTATATAACGTGCTCCTAAACAATGAGTGGGTCAAACACAAAATCAAAGAGGAAATAAAAAAAAAAATACATGGAGACAAATGAAAATGAAAATACAATAGTCCAGAATCTTTGGGCTGCAGTAAAAGCTGGTCTAGGAGAGAAGTTTTTAGAATATAGGTCTACCATAAGAAGCAAGAAAAAAGAGGCAGAGGGAGAAAGAGACTCCCCACTGAAGCAGGACCCAGGACCCTGAGATCACAACCTGAGCCAAAGGCAGATGCTTAACTGATTGAGCCACCCAGGCACCCCAAGAACAAATACTGTTAAAATGTCCACACTACCCAAAGCAATCTCCAGGTCTAATGCAATCCCTATCAAAATATCAACACAGCATTTTACACAGAACTAGAACAAATAATCTTAAAATTTGTATGGAACTGCAAAATCCCTGAATAAACAGAGTAATCTTGAAAAAGAACAACAAAACTAGAGGTATCACAATTCCAGATTTCGAGATATACTACATAAAGCTATAATACTCAAAACAGTGTGGTACTGGCACAAAAATTATCACATAGATCAATGCACAATAGGAGCCCAGAAATAATTCCATGATCATGTGGTCAATTAATCTTCGACAAAGGAGGCAAGAATACGCAACAGTAAGAGACAGTCTCTTCAACAAATGGTGCTGGGAACACTGGTCAGCTACCTGCAAAAGAATGAAACTGGACCAATTCCTCACAGCATACACACAAATAAACCCAAAACGGATTAAGGACTAGGGAACCTGGGTGACTTAGTCAGTTAAGCTCAGGTCATGATCTCAGGGTTGTGAGACAGAGCCCCATGTCAGACTTCACACAGAGCATGGAGCCTGCTTAAGATTTTCATTCTCATTCTCTCTCTCCCTATTCCTCGCCACCTCCCCCTCTCCCCTGTGTGTGTGTGTGTGTGTGTCTCTCTCTCTCCCTCTTGAAAAAAAGAAAAACACCAAAAAAATGGACTGAGGACCTAAATAGGAGACCTGGAACCATAAAACTTGTAGAAGACAACACAGGCAATAATTGTTGGCATTGGCTATTAACAACATATTTCTAGATGTCTCTTGAAGCAAGGTAAACAAAAGCAAAAATCACCTACTGGGTAATATCAAAATAAAAAGCTTCTGCACACAAAGGAAACTGTCTACAAAATCGAAAGACAATCTACCAAATGGGAGATGATATTTACAAGCGACATATTCAGTAAAAGTTTAGTATTCAAAATATATAAAGAACTGCTACAGCTCAACACCCTCCCCAAAAAAATAATCCAATTAAAAAATGGAGAGAAGATGTGAACAGACATTTCTCCAACACAGACATCTAGATGGCCAACAGACACATAAAAAGAAGCTCAACATCACTCATCAACAAGGAAATGAAAATCAAAACCACAATGAGATATCACTTTACACCTGTCAGAATGGCTAAAATCAAAAACACAAGAAACAACAAGTATTAGCAAGGATGTGGAGAAATAGGAACGCTCATGCACCGTTGGTGGGAATGGAAACTTGTGCACCACTGTGGAAAACAATATGAAGGTTCCTCAAAACATTAAAAACAGAAATACCATACAATCTAATAATTCCACTGCTGGATATTTACCCAAAAGCTATAAAAACACTAATTCAAATAGATATATATACCCCTATATTTATTGCTGCATTATTTAGAATAGCCAAATTATGGAAGCGATGAATGGATAAAGATGTTGAATAGATACACAATGGAGTATTACTCAGCCATGAAAACAAATGAAATCTTGCCATTTGCAACAACAAGGAGGAGCTAGAGAGTATTATGCTAAGTGAAATGTCAGAGAAAGATAAATACCATATGATTTCACTCATACGTGGACTTTAAGAAACAAAGAAAAAGGCCAACTGAAAAACAGACTCTTAACTACAGAGAACTAAAGGGAAGGGGTGTGGGGGCAGGGGATGGGTAAAACAGGTGAAAGGGATTAAAAATTCACTTACTGAGTGAATTAGTCAGATGAGCACTGACTAATGTACAGAATTACTAAATCACTATACTTTACACCTAAAATAACATGGTAGGTTATCTTATACTGGAGTTAAAAACTAATTTAAAGAAAAGGTTAATCGTGGCTTTTAGCTGACATGGTGTACATCTGTCCACATCTCTAGGCACACTACAACTACAATCAATGAAATTCACTAAAAGTTTCTGCCGATATTATGAGCCTCACGAAATAACAGATGTAGTCGTGCAAACAAATGCTTGACAGACTCCTTCCATTCTTATAAAAAGCAGGTTGGGCCACTTGTCGAGGCATTAAATCTCAAGGTTCATTTCAGAGAGGAAAAAAAACCTGCAAATCAAATGCTTACCGTTCCAGTGAATGTGTCTGCCACTCTTGTAAAAGTAAATCTAAAAATTCAAAACAGCGCCTAAAAAGTGTAAAGGAAACATAAGTAACTCAGTCATTTTTATGTTAGTGAAAATAAAAGCTTTTTTTTCTATTCCCACACTACTTTTTAGAACTGGTAAATTTCTTCTAATTATTAGGATTCAAAAAATGGAATATAAAGTTGGAATCAGCATTGACTAAAAACCCAAGCAAGTAAAAGTAAGTAAGCATCTATGGTGATCAGAAAAGAAAAATTATATAGATTATTTTATATATATGTAATTTTACATGTATTATATATATAATTATATAGATATAAGAGGATATAAAAGCTCCCCTCAAATCAGAAACTGGAGCTTCATGGCAACATTACTGAAAGGGCCTATTGCTGTCCTTTGTTTTTTATACTACCTCAAATAATATGTTAAAATAGGACATACGTGAGCAAAAAAGATCAGCGTACATTATTACAGAATCAGGGAATTGGTCTTTGCACTAATTTCACAGAATGCCTTGTGCAAAAAAGGGGGGGAAAAAAAGTCCTAAAAAACAAAGTCCTTTCCAAATTTTCCCAAGAAGATCCTAGGTAGTGTTTAAAATAGATTTTTCTCTAACTACTCCTCTAATTCCCTCTTCAATCTTTCAACCTCCTTTCTTGTCAAGCCGTTTCACTTTTGTAATCTTTCTTGGCCTGATTTGTGCAGCGAAACAATTCTGGTCTCATCTCCTTTGGATTACATCACCACTTCAGGTTCTACCTCTTTATAACTTTCCAGAAGTCCAGGCTGTTTATCCTCGTGGCAGTAAATCTTCATAGTCTTAGAAACTTACTCAAGGAAACAAACCAGAGGGTAATTTTTCTCTAATGACCAGACTTGCATTCCCATGGTCCTCCCAATTCAAAACCTCATAATCCATATAATTAATTACTCAATAAATCTTTAATAAACCCTAACCCTATCCTAGATGGTACGGATAACAATGGGAACCAAGACATACACCATCAAGGAAGACACACAATGAACAGTTCCCATGTGCCAGAAATACAAGGGGGCTCTTCTTAGAAACACACAGGAGAGCTATCCAACCCAGTCCTAGGGCTGGCAACAGTGTGCATGTGTGCCCGTGCATTGAGTGTTGGTTGTGAAACAGACTTTCTCCAAGGAGAGACACTGACCCACACCCACACGGTCTCCTCTGCCATTCTCCCCACCCAGCCTCAACCGAGGCCATGTTTATTCTACCTGCTTCCTCATGTCATTTCCTGGGCTGATTTTTGTCTCTTTTTCTTTTTTTAAAAAATATGTGTGCATTTGTTTATTTTTATCTATCTCTTAGTGAATAAAGCCATCTTTGGTGCTAATTCTGGTCTTAAATGTGTGTTAGCTTGTTCAAAAATATGCCCTGTAAGTTAGGTTTTATTTTCCACTTTTTAGACGAACATACAAAGAAGCAGTATCAATACTGGCATTGTTTAACACATCAATATTTAAACACATCAGGTTAGAACTTGTCTCTTTACCTACTCCTACTCATCATTCAAAACGCAACTCAGTTTTCAACTTGTCTATGAAGCATCATAGGAATATATTAGCTGGTTTTAATCACTGCTCTCTGAATCTCTAAATTCCCAATACAGGTGTTATAATTCACTCTTACGTTGCTTTGCATGATTGTTTTTTAATCTCCCCATCTAAACGATCAACTTCTCAAAGGCAGAGAGACTATGCAGTCCAGTTCTTACAAATTCTACAAAGCAGAGGTAGGTACTGGCTGAGTACATCAGAGCCAGAGCACTGCCTGGGTCCCACTGCCCTCTTTGGTTCTCTTTACCTCTCTGAAGGTACTTCTTCCAGCATCAAGATGCATGGGTCTGACCAATGCAGACCCTGACTAATGTAAGAAGAGCAATCTGAAAGGGACTCAGAAAGGGGTGAAAGGGGTGACGTTTCTCTTGCCACAGTAAATGCAAGTTACCAGTCATTTAGCACCAGAAGCCAGAACTGTTAAATTCTGGGGACTGAATGGTGTTGCCCCAAAATTTGTATGTTGAAGCCCAACTGCTCAACAGGAGGGTATTTGGAGATGGGGCCTTCAGTAGGTAATTAGATTCACATGAGATCATGAAAATGGGGCTCTAATGATGGGGCTGGTGCCCCTCTGAGAAGAAACCCCTGCGAGCATGCTCTGTGTATTTCCATCTCTGCCCTGTGAAGACACAGTGAGAAGGCAGCCACCTGCAGATGACCCTCATTAGAATTCAACCATGCTGAACTCAACCATGCTGGTACCCTCATCTCAGACTTCCAGCCCCAGAGCTGTGAGAAAATCCATTTCTGTTGTTTAAGCCACCCAGTGTGTGGTATTTTGTTATGGTGGCCAGAGCTGACTAATACACTAAACATCCTGTAACATTCTACAGGATGTAGAACAGAGGAACTCGGCCTAATACACTCTGAATTTCTCTTGGAAAACCTAAAACGATAGTGACAATAGCCGCAGCAGCAGCAGCAAAATCTAATAATGAGTGTCACTTATTAAGGTCGCACGAAGTGTCAAACCCCGCTACCCAATGACTGGGCCCTCTGCCTTTGTGGAAGTACTCTTGTTCCAAGCAGGTCAGATTAGCCAGCGGGAAAAGGTAATGCTTCGGCTGCAGTCTGCCAGGTTCTGAAGTTCACTACCGTCCCTCTCCCCTGCTGAGCTCACACACTCATCTCAGGAAGCAGCCGCGAAACTGGAGGTAAAGGGAGACCGCATTCCTCAGCAACATACAAGCAAGCCGTTAGAGATTAAGCTTTTTTTTTCCAGTGGAAGGTGCCAATTCCTTCCTTCCTAGCTTTATAAAGGTGGAGATTCCCCTTTCTTCCTTCGTGACTTCCACAGAGCTGTAAGATGGATGGAGGCCACCTCAGGAGTAACAGGCATCCCTACCTGTGGAAACATGGTGGGACCTAGGTGACATGCCAGGAAAGGAGGGCAACGGTGGGCAGCGACTGTACGCTGTGCTCCAAGCTTAGAGTGAAGGGCTCTTTCACAACAAACTCCAGGAATATGAGCAGGAGGCTGCTGTCCAAGCCAGCCGTTAACTTACCCTATATTACCTGATATGGTCCACTGAGCAGCTTCAACAGTGTTCACCAATCCCCTTAAAATCTACACTAAACTATTCTGCATATTTACATTTTCTTAGAAAGAGGGGGCACAGACTTTATATTAGACTCTCAAGACCTACAGATTCCAGTGAGCAGAGATCTTATTCCTCGCCTGTGATCTAGGGCTGCTCATCTGGACCAGGGAACAAAGACCTAGCTAGTTAACCAGGTGGTATCTCCTGGTACATGGTGTTGGTCAGGATTCAGAACCCCAGAAATCACTGTCGGAAGCTGGAAACAACATACACCACCTCCTACCGACAGTAATATTAAATAGATGCCATTAATTTTTGTAACGTTCTTTTTCTTGCATGCAGATACTGCTTTCATTCAGAGAAGGGTACACCAATGACTTAGGTAGAGAGACTGAGAAAAAATGTACACCCCCCCTTCCATTAACTCACACACACACAGACACACATCCTTTGTCTCCCCCTTTTCTCTTGCACACATGCGCGCGCTCTCTCTCACACGACACACACATATACACACGAATAATAGAGGCTGTCTAAATTTATCTTTCAGACTATTCAGATCATGATCCTTCAATCCAAAGGCATTTATTACAATGATCTTAAATAATTTTAACATTTCAAACACGAATGTTTCCACGGAGGCAAATTTGGAATTTGTTTTGGTTTTTAAACCATTAAAAATAATGATGAAGCTGTTTAAAAATTTACCTTCTAACTGCGACAGACTTAGAGGTACAGTTGCTTGTTATGACAGGTATTAGCCTTGGGATGTGTGTGTGCTGCAGAAAAGAACAAAACCAGAGGTGAACACTTGGAAATACAAAAATAAAATAAAACTAAGACAACCACCACACTTCCTTATTAAACTACCTAAAGCACATATATTTAGATTAGAATTTCACTGAGCTTAAAACGGAAGAAGAATTTCACTGGATATTGCCAAAGGCCTGACAACATTTACAGAACCTCAACAGACCACCCAATGATATATAAGTAACCCTAACAACAGAACAAACCATTGGTGGGAAGTCTAAATTATCTGGCAGTAGAGATCTAAGGGAGTTCAAAAGGCATCTGCAGACCGATGTGTTTTGATACAGTTTCAATGAGAATGTCCAACAACGGCTTTGGATTTAATATTTCAAGTAGGCAGTGCAAATAATAGGGACTAAAAATAATACAAGTAAGTGACCCACAATAACCAGAAATATTCCAGAAAGATTTTAGCATCATCAAGTCCCAGTTTCAAGGGCTGCCTCTGGGCAAAAGAGACTTGAAGGTGGGGAGAAGGTCATGTGGGGCATATTCATTTTAAGCTCTTGTGAACTATTAAGTTCTACTGAAAACTTGTACATAAATTACTTGGATAATTATTTAAACTTAAATAAATGAGTGTTTAGAACACTGAAAGGAATCTTTTGTTCATCAGCTTAAACACAATTAATTAAATAAAAACTTTAGGTGAATAACAAAGCCACAAGCACAAATACCTAAAATGGAATGACTGGGAATTAAGGAGTACAATCTGGAGACCTAAAGAACTGGGTATAAACCGAAGCAGATACAGATGTTCAAATGTTTAAAGTCAATGACGAGTAAATGATCAACACATCAGTAAGCATACAGCATATCCATAATTCACATTATGGAATGTAAAAGGCTCATACAGGATCTAATTAAGGAGAGGGAGAGGCTGATTTGTATCCACAACATGATTCCAACTACTTATAATCATGCTAGTGAAAAGTGCCTCTAATATGGCTTATCAACCACCCGTGTTTACTACTTGCTTACTGTATGTATGGCCCCCAAATATACTTACCCGAATGATTAACCTAACAGCTACAACACCAGAAGTGGCCATAATTTTGGCACTATTTGGAATTAAATTAAAGATAGTTGGCATAATGGCTTCAGCTCCATGATCAAACTTATTTCCCAGAACTGATGACAGATGCCTACAATGAGAAATGAAAACTGCACTGTAGTTGTATTTCTTGCAAACACTGAAGCATATAAGCCTCTTAACATCACAGGGCTTTCATTTAAAGTTATTGAGAGACAAAAGCAAAGGTCTGAGTCAGATACTTTCAAAGTATTTCCAATGTGCACACTGTGGACTTGGCAAAGAGCCACTGCCCCAAGAGTTTGTGGCTTTTATTTTTTAAATAAATCATTCCAAACACATTAATCTTAAAATAGCAAAAGACAAATTGATCATATACTAATAAAATATAAATATGAAAGACGCCCCCCCACCCTTTTCTTCTTTTTGCCCCATTAAAAGCCTTTAGCACATAATATATATGCTTCCACATCTGACACTTAACAGCGGCAGCATCTGCTTCCTGTTGCTGCTTTGCTGTTCAGACACACTTTCTAACACAGAAAGAAGCTCCAGCTTCAAACGCTGGTAACAGGTTTCGCTAGGGTAAAATTCTACTGCAGCATATGCCTTGGCTTTAACTTCATAGCTACAGTGCTCTTCTAGAAACAAAGAAAAATTCCGATAATCCTGCTATATCCAGACAGCAGAATCAAGGAAAAGCTAAGAAACAGAAGTTTGTAAAATTTTTTTTTCTGTATTATTAGTAATAACTGCTCCAAGTTTAAAATGGAGGCTTCAGAGCTAAGTCACGGAGTAACACTGAAACTCTGTCACACTTTCTGTCATTGGGCAGGAAACACTGTAACAGTATAAAAGTACCAACAGCAGCATAAATGGGACAGGTCAGAAGGCACATTAGAGAGACCTGCTGGGCATTTGCCACAGACCATCCCAGAAGCGCTGCAATGAGGCTAATTTAGAATGTGTGAGAATCAAGCATGGTAGTCCTTACCCCAAGGTGATACAAGCCTCCCGCACTACCTGAGACCGCAGGTCCTTAGCAGAGAGTTTAAAGGCTCCATCCAAAAGACGCAAATGTTGAAAGAAGTTATCATACTCAGCCGCACCAGCCAAAAGTAAAGATCTTATCTTTTTTAGCTGATGGGACAGAGAAAATTCAGAGACACACAAAGCAATTCTTCAAACAGTATATACAAAACAACAGAAGCCATCAAATATGAGCGATCAATATCAAAGTTCATTGATATCAGAAGTTCTCCAGAAGAATGAGCCAATTCAGTATCAGCTACCATACTGCATAAATCTACATATCACAAAAAGAACGGATTATTTTTATGTGCAGTACCTTAAAATTCTGCAAAATGTATTTTTTAACTGAAAACATTTTCGTGTCTTTATAGGTTCTGTGCTAATGATAAAACAACAAAAGCCTTCATTTTAACTCCTCCCCTAAAGCTTATCTTCCCCAACAACTGACTCTAACTGCCATTTGTTTAAGGAGTCAAAGGAGGAAGCCATCCTGTCATCATTTGTACAGTGTCCTCCACTGCAGCATTCCTGAAAGGCTAGTCTGAGTTTGAGTGGAATACAGCTGTAATTTTATTGCCTCACTTCCTGCCAGCTGACCACTGGAAAACAGCTTTCATCAGATAAGACACACCCTCATTTTAATGCTCACCCCACTTTTCATTAATCTACTTTTTTAAATAGAAGGGACAGAACTTTCCAGCAAGTGATATGAAGAAAGGATGGAGGAGAGGGACACACACTGAAAATGCCACTAAGAAAAGTCAATTTACTGGCTAACAATTACAATTAAATGTTGACTAAGACAAGAGTGGAGGCTGTCTCCACAGGCTCTGCGTTAGGTCTTTGTTAAAAGTACAGGACTTACATAACGGCATAGGTTGGCATGCTTTTGAAACAGAAATAGAAGTGAGGTACTCTACTAAAAGGGTTAAGTGTAAATATGGTAATTTATATTTAAAATCCATCAGAGCTATATCCCAATTGCATAATTATTTAGAACATTTAAATAAATCCAATGAAAATGTAATCACATGAAGTCAATGGCTTACAGCATTTACTCTTTGCTCCCAATCATGCTTGTCATCAGATAATATTTCCCTAATCTTGTTTATGGATTCCTCAAGGTCTCGGCTGGAATAAATCTGTAAGCAAAATTAATTTACAACCAATGTAAGAAAATTTACAGAATAAACAAAGATTAGTTTTTAATTACACGAAGTCAAGAGCTTTAGCAAGTAAAGTTTAAAAAAAATGTCATTTTTTCAGAAGGTCTTATAATATCTAGCCAGATTTGTCTTAGAATGAGTGTCTTTCCCATTGTGAATATATACCCACTAGATTGATGCCAAGTGTGGATAACCATGCTTCAAACACAGTTCTACTATAAACTCAACAGACAACTTCATGTACAGAAAAGAAAGAAGTCAGCTGGGGAACGATCAGTGATGCTCAGGTGATTTCTTACTCTTAGTATTATTTATAAATCTCTTCAAGTCTACTCTCTCATTTATGCTCACATCTTACTAATAAGATAGGTAGGGGAATAATCAGCCAAGAAGGATGCAAGCTGGGGAGGCCAAGGACTTAAGGATGAACCTGAGCCTACAATGCCAGTTACCTGATTTACATACACATGGCAACCCAGGAGCAGGTAGCAAGTGATCACACGGACATTAGTGCTACAGGAATCCAGAGCACCACATTCCATGTAGGCCGAGGGAAAGTGTTATTAGCCCCCAGTCAACAACAGATGACACTGAGGCACATAGCAATTAAAATGCGTGAACCCCAACCTTACAAGCAATCTCTGCTTTGTCTGTTAGGTACTTAAGTGAAGCATCAGGATGGCATAAACTTGAGCTTTTATTAATCCATTCTTTATAGCTTTATAGACACCCAGTTCCTTGAAATTTACAACTTGTCTTAAAAAAATAAAGGCCCTAAATAAACATGCTTCTCTGTTCTCACACCTAATCTAATCATTGTTGGTCCCCCCCCACACATTTAGGTGACCTAATCCACAAAATTATTACTAGAGCAAGCAAGCAACCTCCCTCCAGCTCTTACTGAAAGATCACACTGAGTCTTGACTTTTGCTCTTCATTTCAGCTATAAAAGGCACCAATTTTTCTACTGTGCAACGGCAGATCTCCTGTAGTCCTGAGAGGTAAAATTACTCACGTAGGAAGGGACTTCACATATCACCCACTTGAAAATGGAATTCAAAGAGTCAGTCTTATCTGTTTTTAATCAAACTCAAATACTATCCTCACTCACCTGCACGACAGGTACATCATCAAATGCTTTAATAAAGTCCTCTTCATCGACAGCACCAGCTCCTTCTTTTGCAGCTATGAAAAAGATTCATTTTTAAAACATGAACAATGTGCAGAGGGCCGGTCTGAACATACACAATCACCATTACCTTTTGGGAGATTTGTAACTATCTTTCGAAAGGCTTAATAAAAATTAAGAGTCCTGTGGAACTAACAAATATTACTTTTAATATCAAGATGAAATGGAATAATTCTACAATACTATGTACGTTAGTTAGAGTCACTTAGAGAGATTACTTGTTAAGGAGGACATTTAGCCTTTAAAGGATATAGATGGTTTATATTGTAGTCACGCCTGAATCTTTTGAAAGGTTGCTAATAAACAGATATATAACAAAGAATTTAATTTTTTGGGGAATGAATTTGGTTATGTTATTGGTTAGGCATCTAGCATGCCAAATTTGTGAAACATTCAAATAAGTTCTGAAGAATTTAACAGTCTCACTTCAACTTTTATTAGTCTCAAAACATATTCATTTCCTTGAATGCGTAACTCAATTTTTCACTTGCACATCAGTAGCAACTTCCGCTCATAAAGGTGTTATAAGATGCTCTGTATACTTGAAAGTTGATTGCTATCATTTGGGAGAGTTTTTTCTTTGGCTAACATGAACTCCACTTCACACATGAAAATCGTATGACATTTTAGCAGACCTTCCCCTCAACCCCCCAGAACAAAGGTTTCAAAACTGGGAGTCTACAGTCATCTTGTAACCCTCATTAATGATTTTTACAACGATTAGTTTGACTGCTTTTCCGGAGTTTCCTCATAGACAAGTTATTTGATGTCTGGGGTCCCCATGGACAACACAGGGCTTTAAAGACGATTCTGGGAGCAAAAAATGTGTGTCCTCACTTTTGATGAAGATTCCTCATACTGAGTTCACAAGCTCACTGTGGACAGATGACAGTAATGTCACACTGTGATGTGGTGCTCAGCGCCTATTTTGGTGAAAAGAACACATTCCCTGAGCAGAACAGTCCCGAGCACTGCTCCGGTTATGTGCCGCACCACGTACCCACATATGGAAGGGGACTGCATTTATTGGTATTCTATCCATCTGGTCCGTGAGCCCCGGAATCAGACGAGGAGGAGTCAGTAAGCAAATTCGTGACTATGTTGTTAAACAAAATGGAAAAAAAGGATGAGAACAGGGCTGAGCTCTCTACATAAGCTAGAGCTGGGACTTCTGAAAGGGAGATGGGTAAGGGGCAGGAGGGGGAAAAAAAGTGGTCTGATGATACAGAAATTCTCTAATCCTTGTTTGTGGAACTAATGCCTCCCAAGAATAAGAATAAATTTTTTAAAATAAAAGATTAGGTTTTTCAGTGATAAAGAGGAGTGAAGGACTAATACACGCTTCAACACAGACAAACTGCCAAAACACTAGGCTAAGTGAAAGAAGCCAGAGACAGAAGATTACGTGTTACAAGCCTCCATTTCTATGCAATATCCAGAAGGGGCAAATGTAGAGAGGCAAAAATGCAGACTGCTGATGGCCAGGGGCTGGGGGAAGGAAGAGATGGGGAGCAGCAACTGTTTAAAGGGTCTGGGGCTTCCTTTTGTTAGTGGAGAAGCCCTTCTGGAACTAGCCAGAGGTGGTGGCTGCACAACACTGTGAATATACTAAATGCAACTGGACTGTTACCTTTAAAATGATTAACTTGATGTTCTGTGGATTTAAACTCAATTAAAAAATGTTTTTTGAAAGACTTCATTTATTTCTTTGAGAGAGAGAGAGTGAGAGAATGAGAGGGGAGAAGGTCAGAGGGAGAAGCAGACTCCCCATGGAGCTGGGAGCCCGATGTGGGACTCGATCCTGGGACTCCGGGATCATGAGCTGAGCCGAAGGCAGTTGCTTAACCAACTGAACTACCCAAGCGGCCCCCCAATTTTTTTTTTAAATATTTTATTTATTTGACAGACAGAGATAACAAGTAGGCAGAGAGATAGAGGAGGAAGCAGGCTCCCTGTTGAGCAGAGAGCCTGATGTGGGGCTCGATCCCAGGACCCTGGGATCATGACCTGAGCCGAAGGCAGAGGCTTAACCCACTGAGCCACCCAGGTGCCCCCCAAAAATGTTTTTTTAAGGCATCAAAAAAATTAAAGAGATAGAATACCAATAAATGCAAAGCTTTTCCTTCTGCCATTTCCGTGGTGTGAACATCCCTGTCAACCATAAGCACAGCTCTTTAACACTGACAGAGAAGCTAGTGGCAGAGGCAATGCAGGGACACTGAGCTGACTGAGGAAGACCCCAACAGTCTAGGGCCAGTGCAAAAGGCCAGGAAGACCACCAGAAGGAAACAGGATTCTAAGGTCAATCCTTACCCCAGTTCTAATTTAGCACATCCAGCCAAGTTCAAAAGCCCAATGTTAACAATCAGAACAGGTCTCAAAACAATGGCTATACAATTTGAAGTAAAAAGAAATTTGCATGTCAACTTAAAAATGTGACAGCAAAATGCAAGTGGTATATAACAAGAACTCAAAACTGTCTAAATTGGGGGGTGGGAGAAGAAGGATTTAGAGGAGGACATCTTTGTAAATCAATGTTCAAAGATTGGGGAGCTCATCTCTACCATTTATTGTGGTCAACATCTAAACTGGTCTCATAAAGAACAGCACTACTTGTAGGGACAAAATACATTTTAAGGACAGAAGGCACACCATCTGACTTCTGGACAGTCTCAGTGTAGCTAAGTTGGCAAAAAAAAAAAAAAGGCCCCATGGTAATTTCTGGCATTGCTGGAGCCCCATATCTGAACAAAGCCATAACAGCACACTCCTGCTCGATCTCTGAGCTCTAGCTCGCCTCTGGATTGGCCATATTCTCCCACAGGCTCCCCCATACCAAACATTGCAACACTGAGCAAGCAGAAATTTATTACCAACAGAATTACTTCACTCCTGAAGGACACAGAAGGCAAGCACCATGTTCATCTGGTTTTAAACGCGGACAGAGCCAACCCCCACAGCACCCCCAGGGGGCTGGTTTTACCTGAAGACTTGGATCCCAGAGTGGATGACCCAAGCCGGCGGGTGGTCCCCATTCCAACATTTCTCCGTGAGCTGGGCGGAGCTTTGGATGATGTAGAACTAGCAGAGGAAGGTCTATTACCATCCACAGAATCTTCATCATCAAAATTTTTATCTGAAGAGTAAGCAGAGAAATCACTGTTTAAAAAAAAAAGGTACTTTTTCACCCAAATGTAAAACAAACTAGCCTTAGAAAGATGAAAGGTGTGCCCACTCTTGGGATCTGAGGTGCCAGTGCAGGGTCATAGAAAGGTCTTAGCTAAGTCCAGAATGCAGATATAAATATCACACTCGCTTTCACATATCTAGAATCCTCTCCTGCTCCAATTTCGGAAAATAGAGAAAACATAAAGAAGAAAACAATCTCTTACAAAACAGTTACTTTAACATTTTGGCATATTTCTGACAATTCTTGCACACAATTTTTAGTAACACCTGACACGAGGCTACCTATCATTGGGTATTTTATTTTCAAACATGTGCATTTTTCCATGTAATGAAATATGCTTCATAAACACTGTTTTAATGGTTGCAGGGTACTCTGTAATGAAAAAATGGCACAACTGAAACACTCTTGTTGTTAGGCATTCTAATATGTCACCATTAGAAATAAAGTTGCAACAAACACCTTACTACTTGCATTTTTGTTTAACTTTTTAACAATTTTAAGAAAGAAAGAAAAAAAAAAACCCTAGAAGCAATACCTGTAGGGTCTAAGAGTATAAAAGTTTTTAGTATACACTGCCAAACTTATTTTCAGAAAGGTGATGTGTTTTTTCCTGGAAGTTCAAAGAAGTGTCTATGTTGTCACACCCTTGCCAACATTAAATACTATCATTTTTATTTTTATTTATTTTTTAATAGCTGGCCAACTTATAGTACAATCATTTTTAAATGTCAATCAATTTGACAGGTGAAAAAAACACCTCCTCCTCAATGTTTCATTTCTCTTTAAGTGGGGTTGAGCACTGTTTCTTCAGCTCATTAACTTCTAAAATTTCTAAGCCTCAGTGGATCCAAGGAATATTTCTCAGGTTGCATTTAAAATTAAAAAGAAAAAAAAAAGAAAAGAACTTTGGGCTTTTAAAAGTCAACATATTTAGAGACAACATTCGGATGCCACAAACTTAAAGCTATCATGGCACACTACACAGAGCACCATGGGTTTCCACAGCATCTGTGAGTCATTCAGCATCTGTGAGTCTAAGAACCAAAGAGTAATTAAAAACAACAAAAAGAAAACAAACATCTGTAGCTGGTAATATTCATGATTTCTGAATAAGGGCACCAGATCTTTACCAGTACATCTGAAGTAAATAACTGCTGACCAGAAAAAACAAACAGCAGCCTGTTTCCTTGATCTGGTCGCTTATTGGCTCAGTTATCAACAGCCGAGTCGCATATCTACTCAGGAGTCTACTGTCCTTTGCAATTATCAACAATCCACTTCCAAATATACAGCTTCTTTCATTCCACACTGGTGGGAGTATGACCCATCCTTCTACATACATATCCTTGTGCAAATTAGCCTCCTTCAAACATGCCTTTACAGTTCCCAGATTTCCCAGATCAAACAATCCTCTTTCACAGGCGGCCCTTCAAAGCCACACATCCCCTACTTGATTCAGAAGTTCGGTGGTCTCTCAGCACAGACTTCCCACATGAAATCAAAAGATGATTCCTGAACTGCAAGCACATTAACGAGGCCATTCCCAAGAGGAAAACTACGTGTGATGTGAAGGACAAGAGCACCCCAAAGGAAAGGTCACCCACTGAGCACTGCCAATATTAGCAGTGACAAGGACTGCTCTCAGCCCATCTGCCCTCAGGGGAGCTCTAATCATTATTCTTGTGAGAACAGTAACAGTAACAGTTTCAGTCTGTGGGAAAGGAGCATAACGAACAGGGGAAGCACTATCATGCTTCACTCAGAAATTCATGTCAAGTCTGTTTAGTTTTTCTAACATGGGAAGGCACGCCTTGGAGAACTGCATTCACTTGATGAGAATTATTTTCAATGGGCCGATGTCACTGAATTTCCTGGAGTTTCTACCAGAGCAATGACTACCTATCAAGAACCAGCCAGATTCAACCACTTACAGCAAACAGCCAGAAACCAGAGTCCATAAAACAACTATTTCAGGCGGAGCAACAGGCAGTGCAGAACAGTGAGCCCCAAGAGAGAGAAACAAGGTGAGCTACACAGTCACCCAATTTCCTGCCTGGACACAATTTCCAGGCCACCAAGTACTGGGAAGGAGACCCCAAACTGAACCTAGAAGCCCTGCTAAGTTGAGAAAATGAAGATCATCAGACTTCAAGGAGGCAGAGGGGGCTGGAAGGTAGAGGCGGAGTGCTAGGAAAGAGGAAGCTACTCAGTTCTAGAAATGCACTGACTCGTAGGCCATGCGTGCAGGAGTGAAATTCCACACACAAGGCAGGTGAAAAATGACCAGGAAGCTACAAACTGAACAAGTCCCAGTGTCTGCACAAAGTAGGAAGGTGTTTGAGCACCAGAGCAGAATGATCTTGGAGACTCGCCCAAGGCATTCACCGAGACCCTGAGAGGGCAGGCCTTGGTAGAAGGGCTGAACTATTTTCTGGAGAGAAGGCTACAGTACGCTGGACCTATCAGAAGTTCAAAAGAGGCCTCCAGGGGTTAGACAGACATGCTAGTAACTTAAGGCTCTGCCAAAGCAAAGCATAACATTTTTTTTTTAATCCTATTTGTGTTTATTAGTCTCAGGTTTATTTTTCTTTCCTATGTTTCTTTTTTTTTTTTTAATTTTTATAATTTTATTTTTTATAAACATATATATATATATATATATATATATATATATATTATTCCCCCAGGGGTACAGGTCTGTGAATCTCCACGTTTACAAACTTCACAGCACTCACCATAGCACATACCCTACCCAATGTCCATAACCTCCCCCCCCAACCCCCCTCTGCCCAGCAACCCTCAGTTTGTTTTGTGCGATTTAAGAGTCACTTATGGTTTGTCTCCCTCCCAATCCCAACTTCTTTCATTTACTCTTCTCCTACCACATTAACCCCCCATGTTGCATCTCCTCTCCCTCATATCAGGGAGATCATATGATAGTTGTCTTTCTCTGATTGAGTTATTTCGCTAAGCATGATACCCTCTAGTTCCATCCACGTTGTCGCAAATGGCAAGATTTCATTTCTTTTGATGGCTGCATAGTATTCCATTGTATATATATACCACATCTTCTTTATCCATTCGTCTGTTGATGGACATCTAGGTTCTTTACATAGTTTGGCTATTGTAGACATTGCTGCTATAAACATTCGGGTGCACGTGCCCCTTCGGATCACTACGTTTGTATCTTTAGGGTAAATACCCAGCAGTGCAAATGCTGGGTCATAGGGTAGTTCTATTTTCAACATTTTGAGGAACCTCCATGCTGTTTTCCAGAGTGGTTGCACCAGCTTGCATTCCCACCAACAGTGTAGGAGGGTTCCCTTTTCTCCGCATCCTCGCCAGCATCTGTCATTTCCGGACTTGTTAATTTTAGCCATTCTGACTGGTGTGAGGTGGTATCTCATTGTGGTTTTGATTTGTATTTCCCTGATGCCGAGTGATATGGAGCACTTTTTCATGTGTCTGTTGGCCATCTGGATGTCTTCTTTGCAGAAATGTCTGTTCATGTCTTCTGCCCATTTCTTGATGGGATTATTTGTTCTTTGGGTGTTGAGTTTGCTAAGTTCTTTATAGATTCTGGACACTAGCCCTTTATCTGATATGTCGTTTGCAAATATCTTCTCCCATTCTGTCAGTTGTCTTTTGGTTTTGTTTACTGTTTCCTTTGCTGTGCAAAAGCTTTTGATCTTGATAAAATCCCAATAGTTCATTTTTGCCCTTGCTTCCCTTGCCTTTGGCGATGTTCCTAGGAAGATGTTGCTGCGGCTGAGGTCAAAGAGGTTGCTGCCTGTGTTCTCCTCAAGGATGTTGATGGATTCCTTTCTCACATTGAGGTCCTTCATCCATTTTGAGTCTATTTTCGTGTGTGGTGTAAGGAAATGATCCAATTTCATTTTTCTGCATGTGGCTGTCCAATTTTCCCAACACCATTTATTGAAGAGGCTGTCTTTTTTCCATTGGACATTCTTTCCTGCTTTGTCGAAGATTAGTTGACCATAGAGTTGAGGGTCTATTTCTGGGCTCTCTATTCTGTTCCATTGATCTATGTGTCTGTTTTTGTGCCAGTACCATGCTGTCTTGATGATGACAGCTTTGTAATAGAGCTTGAAGTCCGGAATTGTGATGCCACCAACTCTGGCTTTCTTTTTCAATATTCCTTTGGCTATTCGCGGTCTTTTCTGGTTCCATATAAATTTTAGGATTATTTGTTCCATTTCTTTGAAAAAAATGGATGGTACTTTGATAGGAATTGCATTAAATGTGTAGATTGCTTTAGGTAGCATAGACATTTTCACAATATTTATTCTTCCAATCCAGGAGCATGGAACATTTTTCCATTTCTTTGTGTCTTCCTCAATTTCTTTCATGAGTACTTTATAGTTTTCTGTGTATAGATTCTTAGTCTCTTTGGTTAGGTTTATTCCTAGGTATCTTATAGTTTTGGGTGCAGTTGTAAATGGGATGGACTCCTTAATTTCTCTTTCTTCTGTCTTGTTGTTGGTGTAGAGAAATGCGACTGATTTCTGTGCATTCATTTTATATCCTGACACATTACTGAATTCCTGTACAAGTTCTAGCAGTTTTGGAGTGGAGTCTTTTGGGTTTTCCACATATAGTATCATATCATCTGCGAAGAGTGATAGTTTGACTTCTTCTTTGCCGATTTGGATGCCTTTAATTTCTTTTTGTTGTCTGATTGCTGAGGCTAGGACTTCTAGTACTATGTTGAATAGCAGTGGTGATAACGGACATCCCTGCCGTGTTCCTGACCTTAGCGGAAAAGCTTTCAGTTTTTCTCCATTGAGAATGATATTTGCGATGGGTTTTTCATAGATGGCTTTGATAATATTGAGGTATGTGCCCTCTATCCCTACACTTTGAAGAGTTTTGATCAGGAAGGGATGCTGTACTTTGTCAAATGCTTTTTCAGCATCTATGGAGAG